GCCCTGCCCCGCCCACCAGGCCCCCCCGCCCCCGCGCGCTCACCCGCCTCTTGGGCTGCTTTCTCCGCCGAAGCCCAGCACCGGAAAAACCGCCTTCCCCTGCCGCCCGGACTGCGCAGCGCCGGAAGTGGCCCTCTCACCACTGGGCGCCACCATTGCGGCGCACGGAGAAGGGTTCCGGATCTCGGGTCCAATCAGAACTGGGCGCTGCTTCCGGTCTGGCGTCACGCCCATGACGTGACGCCGTCCAGTCGTAGTTATCGCCTTCGTCTACGGCCCCTACGCTACACTCCCATGGTAGCGGCCATTTTCCTGTACGGAAAATACCTTCGCTCTCTTACGCCACGTGACCTTATTTCGCCAGCCAGAGGCCTGGAATCAATTAAAGAGCCCACCCCTGCAAGGAGCTGGTTGGCCTGTTCCATTCCATTTATAGGGGTGCTGAGTTATTCTATTCCCTCCGGGCGCCCCTGAAGGAGAGGCCGGGCTGAACCCGAGGGGAAGTCGCACAACACGGACAGCACAATTCTAGCACGCCACCCACTTAGTGCGCACGCGCGGTCTGAAGACAGCCGAGTGACAAGATGGCATCTGACAGTGGCGTTTGCGCATGTGCAGCAGACACCGAGATGGCACCCCGGCTCGGTAGCCTACGGCATGCCCCTTCCACGCATGCGTGGTTGTTCCGTACGCCACAAGTCTTCCCTCGTCGCTGCAGCTACTTCCGGGTTACCGTCAGCAGCCTGTATGCCGTACACGATGGCGGCCCCCAGAGGCCGCGTATGGAAGGGGAAGCGATCATCGATGCGCCCGTAGCAGATCGCTGGCGTGTAAGGGAAGGTGCGGAGAGTGGGTGGCTGGGTGGGCGGCCGGTGGCGTGAACATGAACAGCTGTTATTCCCCCACCCCCATCGTCGCTGGGGGAGGTAGAGAGGGGCTGACCACTGAGGCGCAGGAGGTGGGACAGGAGGCTCATGGTCTAGCTGCCAGCACTTCAGCCAAGGCCCAGCTGGCAACCACATCAGACCCCAGACACCCTCCCCCCCCCCCCCCTCCCCCTCCCCCTGTCCCCCACACAGCCAGCAGCTGCAAAACATGTTTTATTTACAAGACACTCCCCCCCCACACTCCATACCACTATTAAAAACCAAGAGCATCTCCTCCCCCCCTCCGCTACAGCTTCCGGTGCTCACTTCCTGTTCACATGGGCTGTCCCGATGACACATTCATTCACCTGCAAAGGGAGAGAAGTGAAAGTGGGGGAGGGAACAGGGGATACACCACTGCCAGACAGCAGTGACACTGGGGGGGATGTAACACAAACAACCCCCTTCCCTTTGGTTCAGTTCTCCCCTCCTCTCCCCGCCCCACCACACAAACTCACTTTGCTGGCAAAGCGCAGAGAGTTGAGAGACTCTGAGAAGTTCTCCTCCAGGGGGGAGATGTTCACAAACATCAGCCTAGGGGCATGGGAAAGGCAGAAGTTAGAGCAGAAGCCCATTATCTGCTGTCCCAGCCCTGTTCTTCAACTCCCACCCCATCCTGCCCCATAGCCCTGCCCCTCACCCTATTATTCCCACTGCCCCCCCAATGTTACTCACATCTTAGAGTTTCCCCCCAGCGAGTTCTGCAGCAGGTAGGTGAGCTTACTGTTCCGGTAAGGTATATGGGGCTCCTGCAGAGTGGGAAGGGGCATGTTGGTCCTCTGGCCAGGGAGATTCCATAGCATGTACTTCAGACAGGCCTCCACCTCTCTGTGGCTCCCCTCTCCCAGTCAGGGAGAGAGCAGATACAGGGAGGACCAGTATTTGGATTGTGATGCACGTATGTGGTATGTGTCACTGTCTTCAACACTATGACTACTGGGCCAGGGAGGCTGCTGCTAATGGTGCATGGGATATCTGAGCTGTTACCTTGTTAGAAAGTGCCATGATGACCAATCCCAAGGTAGAGAGGCTAGTGTTGATGGCTTGGGTCTCCTTCAGCCGCTCCCCCTTGGAGAAGGACTTGTCCAGTCGCTCACTGCCTGCCAGATCCACCAGGCTTAGCACCGCTGCAATGAAAGATGAGGGACTGAACATGGGACAGGCGAAAGGGCACTCCATCCAGTAAGGCTGCTGACCCCAAGTGGTCCTGCCAACCAATCTCCTCAAGCTCTGCTTTCAAGTTATTGTTTAGCTGCCCCAGCCTCCTCCTGCCCCACTCACAGCTACTGTGCAAGTCCCGGCTTGGGTTCCAGCCCTCGATGCGTAGCTGGAAAAGGCTGTGGCTGCGGGAGGAGTGGTCATTTAAAGCTGTCTTTGCCACAGAGCGGTTGGCCTTGGCTGTTCGCAGTAGCTTCAGCACCTGGGGGATACAGGATGTGTTTGCAGGGGTCAGAACTGCTCCCAAGCTCTCTGGCTCAAGCATAGCTACATCTTAGCTCACCTCATCCTCGGAGTTCACGGGCACATAGCGCAGGTTGGGCACATGCAGCTCTTCACTGCTCTGGCTGACCCGTTTGATCTCCAGTTCGGCACTCCGCTCCGGCCGTCCCACCAGTAGGTCCCGCAGCGACTCATTATAGATCTCCAAGAAGTTGGCTGTGAAATGGTACTGAGGTGTGGGTGGGAAACAAAATCCAGATCAGTGTCATGAGAACAGGTGTGGAACCAGGGATGCTGCCAGGATTCGGGGGGTAGACACAAAGGCCAGAGGATGCACAGCACTCACTTGCCAGCCCTTGGGCTCCAATTGCCGTGCCCCTTGGAAGACCTGCTGCACAGCCCGAGGAATCATACCTACAGTCTCTGGGTTCATGTCATCTGGCCCCTCCATGGTATAGGTCTTACCACTGCCTGTCTGCCCATAGGCAAAGATGCAAACGTGGTACCCATCCAGAGCGGACTGCAGGAAGGGAGGAGAAAGTGCTCACTGTGGGGGTAACCCCCAGATTCCCAGTCCCCCAGGCCTTGTGCCCCCCTCTGTACCTGCACCAACAGCGCGATCTCTTCAAACACCTCCTCCTGGGAGCAGGCAGGGGAGAACACCCGGTCAAAGCTGAAATCATATTTCACATCACCCTTGCGGTCACGCCCAATGTGGGACTGAGGGGAAAGAGACACAGAGGTCAAACTACAGGACTCCTTCCTAGGACCCAGGCCTACACTGGGGGAATTGACAGCCACCTCTGACAGAAGTCCCAAGGTGGTAATGAGAGCCACTGGTTGCAGAGGGTTCTTTAAGGCAAGAGATGGACTTGAGGGCCTCCAGAGGAGGAGCCATGCCAGGCAGTGGAGGGCTGGTTCAATGGCAGGAAAGTGCCCATGCGAATGGAACTACTTGAGGGATGGGCTGAGTTTGAGATTAACAAAGATTTTAGAGGAGGCCCCAGGTTTGTATGCACTGCCAGGGAACGGGGCAAGGGTATCACCTCTCCATGCATACCTGTGATTTATGGGATATGCTATATCAGTCTGGCAGCCACGCTACAAAAAGATGGGAACAAACTGCGAAAGGTTCAGAGAAAAGCTACAAGAGTCAAAGGCTGGAAACCCTGTCTCAAGTTTAAAGAGCTTGAAGGAACCCCCTCCTCCCAATCTGGCATACTGAAGGGCAAGTGAAGAGGAGACAATCGGGAGCATACGGTTCTGAACTAGTGACAAGAGGCAGAGGCCCCTAGACTCACCTCTTCCACTTTGGAAAGCACCAGGGCTTTGTTGTCCTGCACAGGGAAATGAAGGTGCTCCAGCCCCTTCTGCCGCTCCTTCTCCCAGGCCAGTAGGGGGCGCACACGACAGAACACACGGATGTTACCCTGGGAACAGGAGACATGTCAGTCCAGTGCTGGGAATGTTTGTCCTCACCCCCCCCCCAGGTGTTGTAACCTCTTCACCACACTTCTATGGCTTCCTGCCTCCCACCTTCTGCAGTGGGGAACAAATGAGAGCCTGTCACCTTGAGCTCCTGCACCAGGTTGTGTAGCCGCCTTCTCTCCATTTCCAGCTGGTGCAGCCGCTCCTCCTGCTGGGCCACGGTCTGCAACTGAGCTGCCACCTGGTCTCTTAGTTCCTTGTTCTCACACTCCCTCTGGGCCAGGTTCCCCTCCACCAGCTTCAGCTTCACCTGGAGTGGGATGGGGAGTTAAAGAGTTACTGCTAGTGGCTCACTGGGAGCTCTCCATGCTTGGAGGAGAGAGAACAGACTGTTGTCACACACCATGGGTCAAAGCTAGCATGTGAATCCCAGCTGAGAACTGACAGGGTTAGTAGGCAGAGTGGGGTTGATCACCTGGGCAAAGAAAAGTGGTTGTGGGAAATGCACACAGCGCTGCAAGAAAGCCATGCAATTGAAGCCAAGAGGCTGGGCTTTTCAAGGAGAGCTGAGTGCCTGAACACTGGGGAAATGCTCCTTGGAAGACCCTGGTGAGGCCAGCAGTTGCTTTTTGGGGACACAGTGACTAAAGCAGAACAGCCAGACACAGAAGTCAGTCTGAAAACAGGGTGGGCTTATGACACTGGCAGGGGAGGAATTTCCAGGAGACTGCAGAGCAGAACTGTGTCCCAGCAAATCTATGTAAAACCTTCTTAAGGCTTAACTGTTGCTATAGGAAACGCAGCTTTTGTCTAGGAGGTGCCAACGCATGGAAACTGCAGGGGCTGCTGCCTATGGCCTGGTTCCCCTCAGTAGGGCAGGCCAATGGCCCAAAGGGTGCATAACCTGTCCTCTGACCAGGAATTGGACAGGGAACGGCTGGGCTAATACAGCATGTTATGTGAGATCCAAAACATGCTGCTTTGTTTCCTGGCGCCCGCCACATGACCTGCATCAGTCAGGGCCCTCAGACTCCAGTGGGGAAGGTTAACATCACATCTCCCCCCTTCCCAGGCTCAAACCCACCTCTCTGGTCTCCAGCAGGGCTGACAAGTCCTGCTTGGTCCCCTCCAGCTCCCCAATGGTCCTGCTCTGGCAGGTGAGCTGGTCTTCCAGTTGCTTCTTCAGGCCTGACAGTTCCATTACCTCCTGGTGCCTCTGCCGTGCCTGCTCCTCAAATGTGTGCAGTGTGGAGCTCAGTGTGCTGCAGACAGTAGGGGCAGGGTGAGATGGGGCAGGGTCCATTCCCCTGAATCAGACCAACAGAGACACCACCCCTTCTGCCCCCAGGCTTCTCACCTGACCTGGCTGCTCAGTTCCTGGTTCTGAGCCACCTGCTCCTGCAGTTGCCTCTTGAGCTGCTGGTTCTCCTCATCCAGTCTCTGCACCTTCTCCTTGTAGCCGCTCATCTTGGCCCGCGTATCAGTCAGCTGGCCCTTCAGGTCCCAGGCTGCCCGCTTCTTCCCATCATTCCCTGCAGCTGGGGCAAGGGCTGCTGAGGGTACAAAGGGGAAAGAAGCTGAGGCTGGAGCCAGCAGGGCTATCCCTCTCCCCAAGGGCTTCACCCCTTCCCAACACCAGGTCCCCACTACTGCTGCCTTACCCCTCTTGGGAACTGCTGCCACAGGCACTGGCCTCCTGATGACCTCTGCAGAGGAAAAAGGGAGAGCATGTGTCATGGATCCACAGGACCAGTGCTCCTGAATGGCTTCAGCAGTCCCTGGAAGGCCCCCTTCAGCGTGGCAGGCCCCTCGGGGGGGGGGGGGGGGGGGGAGCGCACCCCCCTGGG